AACATAGGATTTCACGTGCTCACTGTACACAGTTCTACAGTTAGAGAACATAGGATTTCACGTGCTCTCTGTACATAGTTCTACTGTTAGACAGTAGAAAATATTAAAAGTCTTCCCTCTCAAATAAGACAAAGACTCTGCTCCCTGAAGATTACCTGACAATGGCTAGAAAGAATGCTTTGTCACCAGTGAGCGCACACATGTGCTCACATGTGTGTGTGCAGACATGCATGCGCACACGAACAAAAGTTCACTTACATGCCTACCATATGTATTAACACGACAGAGTTAACAAGGAAGACAGTCCCCCCAAATTATTCAGCAATACAGGGATTTCATCTTCTTGGTTTTTTTTTTTTTAATTTGGTTTTTTTGTGACAGGGTTTCTCTGTAGCTTTGGAGTCTGTCCTGGAACTTACTCTGTAGACCAGGTTGGCCTCAAACTCACAGAGATCATCCTGCCTCTGCATCCCAAGTGCTGGGATTAAAGGCCTGTGCCAGCACCGCCCAGCCCTCATTTTCTGTGTTTTGAGATGGAATCTTTTTTTAAAAAAAATATTTATTTACTTATTATGTATACAATATTCTGTCTGTGTGTATGCCTGCAGGCCAGAAGAGGGCACCAGACTCCATTACAGATGGTTGTGAGCCACCATGCGGTTGCTGGGAATTGAACTCAGGACCTTTGGAAGAGCAGGCAATGCTCTTAACCTCTGAGCCATCTCTCCAGCCCCCTTGAGATAGAATCTTGTATGGAACCCAGGCTGGCCTTACACTCAGGGCACTCTTCCTGGTTCACCCCCCACCCCAAGTGTTAGATTACAGGGTGGGGCACCATACACTCTTTTTAGCTTTAAATGCTAATGGTGTAATCTTTATCTTTATCTAACAGTTTATATTATTTCATTTTAAGTCTGAAGCCACAGGCAGATCAAGGAAACATTAACCAGGCAATTCTCCAGTGGATGGTCCATAAAAAGTAAAAAGAGATTAAATACCATATTCTGGAGTAGTGCATTTACTCAGCTTCCCTCCTAAACCAGATGCGGTCACTCTGCTGAACATGGCTGGTAAATCACCAGGAACCTGGCACCACAGAGACAGTTGTGTGCTAGGGACAAGTGATTTATTTTAGCATCTAGATTTTAAACAATTTAATATATCCCTAAGTAGATTCTCCTCTATATGCTGTTATTATGTTTTATTGCCATTGGTTAATAAAGAAGCTGCTTTAGGCCAATGGCTTAACAGAATAAAGCCAAGCAGAAAATCCAAACAGAGATACACAGAGACAGTAGGCAGAGCCAGAGAGAA